GGGAGGGAGGAGGAGGAGGAGAGGAGGGAAGGAGGAAGGGAGGAGGAGGGGAGGAGGGAAGGGAGGAGGAGGGAGGGGAGGAGAGGGAGGGAAGGGAGGAGGAGGGAGGGGGCGGAGGGGAGGAGGGAGGGGAGGAGGCAGGGGAGGAGGCAGGGGAGGAGGAGGGAGGAGGCAGGGAGGAGGGGGGGAGAGCGTGCACAGGCTGGAGAGAAAGAACAGGGAAGAGAACTGGCTACCGGGTGAGAGGCGACAGCAGGGCCAGGGCGATGACGGGGTGGGGGGGGGCGAGCAACAGGCAGAGGCTGAGACAGAAGCTGCAGGGGGAGGTGAAGTGAGAGAGACAGAGGGGAGGAGCCTGGGGAGGAGGGCGTGGTTCCTGCCTGAGGGCGGGGGGAGGGGGCACCCACAAGCACACAGGCACCGGGCGGGCGGGGTGCCAGGTCTGCTGGCACATCTGCTCTTCGCCTGGAGGCGGCAGACAGATGCCCCGTGCGTGCCCTTTGGGGGGCAGCCTGTGCTCGTGCCCCAGACGGACGGGAGTCTGACAGCCACGGTGACGGTGACGGTGAAGGAGCGGAGCAGGGCAGCAGGGCGGGGGGCAGCAAGCAGCGGGGAGGGGCGGAGGCGCCCCAGACATCCGGAGGTGATAGCCAGGGACGCAGCCAAGGGGCCCTCGGGCAGGGGAGCAGCAAGTGCAACGGCCCTGTGCCAGGAGCAGGCTCTGGGCAAGGGGAGCCACCCTGGCTTCGCCCAGGCGGGAGACGTCTGGACACGCGGGGCATGGGGCACACGCGGGCCGGCGAGGTGGGCACTGGAGCCGGGGCTGCGCAGAGCCAGGGGCAGGAGGGCAGCGTGGCCACGTGTCACTGGCTCCTCCGGTCTGGGGGGGTCAGGGACAAGGCCCCAGCAGGGCGTGTCACTGGCAGGGAGGGAGGAGGGGATGGGGTTCCTTGCTGGCACGCGCCTGCGGTGGGGGGGGGGCCCTGACTAGCCTGCCCGCCCTGAGGCCGGCCCTTGGGGGTGTCAGCCAGGCGGGAGCAGAGATGGCCCCACGCAGCCACAGGAAGGCGGCCCTGAATTAATCTGTCACTAAAGCTTGGCCATGGCAGGCGCGCCATGATTTAGATGAATAATTGAAATGCTCCAATACATTTATTATCCCTTTAGTGCGAAAGTGGCAGAGAAAGACGAGGGGTAATTGAAAAAGCACGCGCACATCTCCCAGAGAAAGCCGACTCCTTATCACCGAGTAAACATTTCAGTCCCAATAAACAGAAGAGACACACGTCAGGGCCCTGTCGATTCCCATCCTGATTTAGGGCCCGCCTCCCTTCTTACCACACAACCAGAGAGAGTCGTTTTTTAAATTTTATCAAGCCAGTGAAAGATTCTCCAGGAGGAAGGTGGAGGGCGGGAGAGGCCTGGAATCCCCAGGCCTAAGGGTCCTTCCGGAAGGCCTGCTGGCTGCCCCCTCCCCATGAGTCTCCCCAGCACAGACGCTGGGTCCTCTCAATTTCTCTGTACCTGCTGAACTCCTATTCAACCTTCAGGGCCCAAGTCAAATGCCCCTTCTGGTTGGAAGCTTCCTTCCAAACTGGGTCTCTTTGAGGGCAGCGCCAAGTCCTGAGTTCCAGAGTTTGGTGAAGGGTCCCCCCTTCACCCATGTATTCTCAGAGGGGACACTGGGAAGGAATGGGGAGTAGGTGCTTCCCCAAGACTCGCTGTGATATCAGAATCACCTAGCTTGACAGCAGGACCTAGGAGGGTCCGGCCCCATAGGGTGGCAGGGCTCGGAGGCCTGGCCCTTTGGATTGAGTCCTTTGGCCCTGGGGGCTGCACGGAGGATGGGGTGCCCTGCCGACTCCCTCCCTGCTCCCCAGAGGCAGAAATCCTCCTCTATTCCACACCACCAGGGGCATTGCACCACAGCCCTGCAGGCTGGCCCTGGAGGCTCCCCTGGAGCCTGAGACATGGGCTCTGCTGGTGAACTGTCCCTCCCCCCATGCTGGGCAGGCCCAGAACCAGGGTGCAGTTAATTGCCCCTTAGAGGCTGTTCTAGGGAACTGGGGTCCCCTCGAGCCCCGTCCCTGGGAGAGTGCATTCTCAGGGGAGAGGGCATAAAACACAAATACGTAAAAGGGGGTCCGTGCTGGGGGCAGCACAGGGTGGGTGAGGGGTGGGGCAGGGGACAGGGCCTGTCACCTGCATGGGGTGGGGGTGGGATGGGGGAGGTGGGGTGGGGGTGGGTAGGCAAGTGGTGGTGACAGCAGTGTGGGGGTGGGGAGAACTCTGAACCCCTTCAGGGTTGGACTCAAGAGATGAGGGAGGGACCTTGGGAAGATGGGGGTCCACCTCGGCAGTCGGGCGGTGGCCAGGCCCCCCAGCCCGGGCTACTCCTGCCTGCGCCTCCCACCTGGGCAGGTGGGGCTGAGAGCCTGAGGGCGATGGGGGAGCCAGGAGGGCGGACGATGTCCAACATCGTCCAACTTGGGGTTCAGCTCCACCCCAGCTCTTCTCACTCAAGGTGAGAGCCCCACCAGCCCAGCGCCGCCCCACCACAGTGCCGTCCCGCCGCCCACCTGCTCCAATCACATTAGTAGAGTGACAGCCCCAGCGAGCACCTGCGGCGGCTCCATAAATCTCAGCTGGCGCTAACAGGCTGCGCTCCAGGCCGCTTCCTCCCGGGGCCTGGCCCACCCCCACCCATCTCTGCGCCGGTCAGGCCGGGCTTGGGGCCTGCTCTAGGGTCTCTTGTTCTCAGTGCCACAGGCAGGGGCCAGAGGGGCACCCACGGTGCCCCCTCACAGGCCGGCATAGCAGGTGCCTTTGACCTCCCAGGATGAGGTCGCCCGGCCATCTAGGAGCCACTCCCTGCCCTGGCCAGCAAGTCTTTCCCTGAACACGGAAGCCCGGCCCTGACTTTACCTGTCGTTTATACATTCAGTCAACAACCGTTATTGAGCATCTACTACACGTCACGGGCCAGCGCCCGGTCCAGGTGCTGGAAATACAGCCCTGTCCGCTGGTGAGCTCCGGGGAGACAGACAGTGAGCAGTGACCACAGCAAACGTGTCCATTATACGGCACGTAGGAGGGAGGACGCAGAGGGAAAGAGAAGTGGAGCAGCGTGAGGGATCTGGGGGGCGTGGCGGGGGCGCGGGGAGTGGGGTGCGGGCAGCTTCAATTTCAACAGAAATCCGGGGGGGCCACCCTGGGAATGTGGCTTTCAACTAGACCTAGGGGAGGAAGAGCATCTGGGCAGAAGAACAGCCTGTGCAAAGGCCCTGAGGCGGCAGCCGCCAGCCAGTTCCGGGCCGCGAGGAGCCTGGGCGCCGGAGCAGAGTGGAGAGGGGGCGGGGCCCGCGCAGGTCGCAGTGAGGACCTTGGCCCGGCGTCCGGCTGAGGCTGCAGCTCTGGCCAGGCTTTCAGAGAAGCGGGGTGACGGCCTGACTTAGGGTCTGAGCCCAGCGGCTGAGGCCCAGCTCCTCGCGTGGACTCAGGCCCTGGCCTCACCTCCAGCCTTGCCCTGTCCAGGGGGAGCCTCCGCATTCTCCCCACGCCAGGCCTCCGCCCGTGTTCGCCCCTCTGCTCTCCGCTGCTGTCTCCTGCCCGCTTCGCAGATCCCAGAGGCACCGCTTCTCCCAAGCCCGGACAGGCGCTCCTCACGGAGCTCCGCGGCACCCGAGAGCAGCTGGCCTCGCCGCCGTCCAGCCGCCGTCCCAGGGCTGTGAGCTCCAGGAGGGCAGGGGCGGGGCCCCGCTGGGGCCTGAGGACCTGTCCTGGCCCCCCCTGAGGACCTGTCCTGGCCCCCCCTGAGGACCTGTCCTGGCCCCCCTGAGGACCTGTCCTGGGCATGCAGCGGGCGCTCAGTGACCGGGCGAGGCACGAGCGGACGAAGGGGGGCGGCTGCGGGCAGAGCGTGGCCGGTGTCGCACCAGCGAGGACCCCACGTCCTCCAACAGGACAGGCTTCAGCAGAGCCCCTCGTCCGGGGGGAGTTCTGACCTCCACGGGCCGGCTGGAGGAGACGGGCGGGAGGGACTGTCTCTGGCCACAAACAGCCCCTCCTCTGCGTCCTGGCTGGTCCCCGACAGCTCTTAGTGCTGCTCTTATTTATTCCTGACCTTCTCTGCCCCTTTTATTTTTTCCCCTTTTAAAACCTGGCCTGGGCCCCGCCACCGCTGCCGTAAACACGGCCCCCGGGATTTATCCGACGGCGCATTAACCCCTGCCCCCCGGCTCACCAATCATCCTGCTGCCATGGCAGACAGCGGGGCGCCCTGCCAGTGGGGGGGGGGCCGGGGGCGGCTCTGCCTGGCCGGACTGGCCAGGGGAGGCGGGCACGGGAGGGGAGGGCCACCCCCCATCCCCTGCCCTTAGCCTGGCCACAGAGCCCACCCTGACCTCTGCCTTCCTGCCCACCTGGCCCTGCAGGACCCCCTGCTCCTGGTGGCCCTTCACCAAAGGGGGGCTGACAGGCAGCAGAGCCGCTCTGACCACGAGACCCTTGTCCGGGCTCCCGGCCACCCGCCGGCTACAGGACAGGGCACAGACTTTTGTTTTGCTCTCACAGGTGGGGAAACTGAGGCCAGAGGCACACAGGACCTGCTGAGGGCAATGGGGCGTCAGGAGCAGGCCCGGTCCTTTTTATACCTCGTGTGCCCCCCTCTCCCCACACCCCCATTACAGACCGGGAGGCCACTACTCACAGGTGGGGCTGCCAGGGTCACCCCGAGCCCAGGAGCAGGGCCCGCCTCCAGGTCCCTGGCTTGGTGTAAGGCGGTGGCAGGCCCGGCAAGACCAGGGGCGTGGCGGGCAGTGAAGAGGGCAGAGAGGGAGAATGGGGGGTGGGGGAGGCTTTGGGAGAGGCGACGGCCGCGAGAGCCAGGCGTTGCGGCGAGGCGGCCGGGAGGAGAGAAGTCAATGTGGAGGACGGGCAGCCCCGAAGCCCCCAAACCCACACGCCTCCGCACCCCCAGGCCCCAGGAAGGGTCCACTCACCACCTCCGCCTCCGAGCAGGGAGCTGTTGGCTGCAAGAGAGAGACACAGGCCGGTCAGTCAGGAAGGGCTGGGGGGGCAGGGCTGTGTGGTGAGGGGACGGCCCAGGCCCCGGGCTCCTCAGAGGGGCCGAGGGTCTCCCCGGCGGCCAGGGCCGGACAGGTGAGCGGGGAGGCTGGCGCGACTCTCCCGCTGAGGCTCCCAATGGCCTAGGGTGTGTGGGTGCGAGGGAGGGGGACAGGGGAGCCACCAGGGCCTGCCCACCCCAGAAGGAGCGGACCCACGGCCCCGGGGTGTCCCTCCCCCGGGTCCTGCTGGCCCGTGTCTCGCATACCGTGCAGAGGGGGCGACAGCAGCCCCGCCCTCCTGGGCCTCCCAGGCTGCCGCGGAGGCAACTGAGGCCACGTGGAAACAGGATGTCTGCACCTGGCAGGAGCGGCCCGCGGGGCGAGCGTGCGTTGGGGTGAGGAGGCGCAGCGGGGCCTCCTGGAGCAGCAGGAGCAGCGGCCGGGGCACCGGACGGAACCCAAGCCGGCCGCAGGGAGCTGACCCGGCCCACTGCCCTGTGGCTCAGCTTCCCTGAATGGCAAACGGGGAGAGGCGCCGCCCGACGGGGCTGGTGCAGAGGTCGGGGGGAGAGGGCGCCTGGGCTCCAGCCCCTGCCCCGGCCTGAGTGGCGCCACGGCCGTCCTGCTTCCCACAGGCTGCGTGGAGGCAGTGAAGCTGGCGGCCTCCCCCGGCCCTCAGGGCTGCGTGGGTCCCGCCTCTCCCAGCCGGGCTTCCAGCTCCTGGCCGCCCAGCTGCACTCGGCTCGCTGCTGTGCTGATGGGGAAGTGGCAGCGAGACGCCCAGGTGTGCCCAGGTGTGCCCAGGTGTGCCCAGGTGCAGCCCAGGCGGGCACGCAGCTGTGCTTCCTCCCCTGACCTGCCGGGGCCTGGCTCCGGGCAGGGCCAGCAGCTCCTTCAGCCTCCGGAGCCCCCTCCCCAGGGGCTGCGCAGCCCCTCAGATGAGGGGGACAGGGCAGTGCCCTCCAGGAAGGGGGCCGTCCCCGCAGGCCACAGGCCAGGGCACCCCGCGAAGCTGTGGACGCTGCTAAGTGGTGTCGGGCCGCTCCGAGCGCCCGGCCTCCCAGAGCTGACAGCGCCTCGCTTGGGGAATAATTAATTGCACAGCCTGCAAACCCAGGGCTGCGAGTTGCCACGTTACTTGCGAGATTAATACAAGCAGCTAATTAAGATGGAGCGCGAGGAGCAGCTGGGCGCGCCGGAGTGGGGTGGGGGCCGCAGGGATGCGGGAGGCGGGCGCCGCGGGGCGGGGGGCGGCCGGAGCCTGTGGACCCCGGCGGGCGCCGTGGGTGGGGGTGCGCGGGAGCTAACGGCCCTGGCGCGGCCTCTGCTCCAGGAGGGCACATACCCAACGGCCGAGGGAGCAAAGAGTTCGCCAGGAGTGCCCCCCACACCCCCACCCCCACTTCCCATCACAACGACGCCACCAGCGGGGCACCCCGGCCCCCACGCGGCATAGGAGGGAAGCCAGGCGGAGGCCCAGCCACTGCGGGAGGCCGTGGCAGTAGCGGGACTGGAACCCAGAGTCAGGCCTCAAGGCAGGTCCAACTCAGGGCAGATGCCAGGGTGGTCGTGGGGACACCCCACCGGCCAGGGCTGGGCCTGCCCCTCCACAGCCCACAGCTGGGCAGGGCAAAAGGCCCTCGGAGGCCATCTTGACCGCTGCCCGGGAGGCCTGGCTGCAGAGACGAGGGGCTGGGGCTCCTGGAGACAGGGGCTCCCCAGGTGGAGCTGTAGGCCCTGGGGGCGGCCCTGGGGTCAGTCCAGGCAGCTGCTGGCAGCTGGCCCCCCCCGCCCCACCTCCCCCATCACCTCTCTTAATTAACACGCCGCAAACCAGCAGACTCTGCTCTCGGGGCGCAGCGCCAAATGGGTTGGCAGCGCGCCCGGAGGGTGGGCGGAGAGGGTGCTGACCCGCTGTTCCGCAGGGCCCTGGTGGAAGGCGGTCCAACCCCCGCCCTCCCGCCACCCCGCACTCGCCGTGGGAGGCCCTGCCCCGTGGGGGCACGCCAATGAGCTGCGCCCACCTTCTCCAGGCCGGGCCAGGACGGGGTGGTCGGGGCAGAGGAAGGACTTCACCGGCCAACCCAGCCAAGTTACGCGCCACGGGTGGGCAAGGGTGGGCGCGGCGGGGCTGGGCGCTCGGAGCTGGGCCGCGCCGAGGACCAGGTCCCTGGCCTAGGAGGCCGGCCTCAGTGTCCCCTTCCCTCCGCCCGCCGTGCTCCGCAGACGTGGGGGTAGGTGCTCTGGGCCCAGTTCCTCTGCGCCTCCTTCCCACGGGCCCTGGCTGGCCCTCTCCCCGGGGCCGGGACACTGGCCTAAGGGGGTCCCCAGAGGGCTGTCCAAGGCCCTACAGCTGGGCCCGGCGGCGCCAGAAGTCTCTGAAAAGGGGAGCGGTGCCAGAGGCACCAGCAGGCAGCCCCCCGGGACGCCTGGCCCCCACCTGAATGGAGCAGGGCAGTTCCCACCTCCTGCCCCAGACCAGGGCTGGCCCTTCCCACCTCAGCCGACCCAGACACGCCCCCTTCTCCTGGGCCCCCCCAGCTCCCTCAGTTTGGTTTGAAGCTGTAAATCATACCTGGCATCAACCCAGGTGAGGAGGCGGAGGCTGCCATGGCGGGGGGCCAGCACCGTTTTCCTAACCCCTGCGTGCTCCTGTCTGGAAGGTTCTGGCCGCCTTGCTGCTGGGGTGTGGCCGTGGCTGGGCAGTTGGTGACTGGGGACGGGCCCTGGACTCCTGTCCAAGCTGGGCCGGGGACCTGGCCCCCGGGGCACGGGGCGGGGACTTTGAGCCCGCTGGAGGCGGAATGAGCTGTAAGCTCCTGCCGGGACTCAGCCGGGCCAGGGCAGGGGGCTGGGGAAGGGGTGAGCAGGGCAGGAAGGGGTGAGAGGGGCAGGGAGCTGCCTCTGGGGTCACAGACACCCCTTCTCTTCTTTCCCAGCCTCCCCCCCACCCCTGCCAGTTAACACCTCCCCGAGCGCCTGGCACAGGGCGGCACGTGCCTCAGGGCCCCAAAACTATGGGGCACCTACAAAAATGTAACTCCTTTTAAAGTAAGCAGAAATATTAATAAACTTGACGCGGAAGGAAGGGTTCCCGGGGGGCCCACGTCGCCGGGACTGGGGCTCGGGCGATCTCGTCACTGAGGAGGTCGCGGGCATGAGACGGGCGGGCAGCGAGGACAGAGTGTCCGCAGGGGCGAGAGGCTGCCTGCCCGAGACTGCGCTTTACGGGGGCGCAACTGCCTGGGCCAGGCCGGGGCTGCGGGAGGGTGAGGACACCGGCCCACCGCTCCCTACCCTGTGAGGCACATTCCATTTCCAGCGCAACAAAGAAAGAGCTCACAGCAGCCCCAGCACCTCCTGTTTACCCCCAGCTTCCCCACTAGTCCCCCCAAAGCCCCTTGTGCTTTCAGAGTAAAGAACCGGCCCCCGTATCCTGGGCCCATGGGCCCCGCTGACAAGTCACCTCTCCCTCCTGTGTGCGCGTCTCCCTGACACTCCAGGTCCTCAAATTTGGCTCCTTTCCAAGGCCCCAGGGAGACCCCCTCACTGTCCCCCACTGTAGTCGGCCTTGAGGGGTGCTCCCTGCTCCCCTCCCAGGTCAAGAGCTGCTCCCTGGCACTCTCCCGGGCACGCCTCCAGCTTCCTGGCATCCAGCTAAGTGCCTGCTTGCTCCCTGGCCCCCCAGCCTGAGGATCTTGCCCACAATTGTGTCCCCGGCTCCTGGCAAGGCGGGTGCCACCAGCCCGCCAGCAGCCCCGATGGCCCAGTGGTGGACTGCGGCCGCCCAGCTCGATCACGGGCTGCCTGCCCTGCAGCCTGGGCTCCACTGTACCTCTTGGCAGAGGAGTCCGCTCTGGCAGGGGCTACCGGGAGGCAGGACCTGGGGGGACTAGATGATCCAAGGGCAGCAGCAGGAGGTGACAGGAGTGGCCTCAGCCCCGGCTTCTCCCTGACAGGGACCCAGGGACCGAATCCTCCACCCAACGGGGGTGGGGCGCTGTGCGGGGGCTGGGCCGCCAGAGAGGACACTCAGTGACCCAAGGAAAGCGCTGAGCAGGTTACTGGGCCAGGGAGGTGCCGGGCGAGCGGGCACCGCGGTGACTTTGCGGCGGGCACAGCCTGTGTGCGGCCGGGCCCTGCCTGCTGCCTCGTGCACGCATCCTGGTCTCAACCCCCTGCTCCCCCGAATCACCCGCCCCTCGGCCTGGCCCACCTTCCCGCACCCTCCCTTGAGGCCAGTATCAGCTTCCTGTTACTGGGCACATCTGTGTCCTCCTCTGGGCCAGCCCCTGGGACATGGATGGGCAGGGCCCTCGGGCAGAGCCGGGGGACAGTTGAGAAGGGACTGAATGTGAATGAACTTGAACAAGAATTACTGTTAGCACCAGGTGGTGGGACGAGAACAAAAGGAGGGGAAAGTGGCAGGTGGGCTGCGGGGCAAGGACCTGCTGAACAGAGGGGACAGCTGTGAGGAGTACACCCCGGGCAGGGGCAGCTGTGCAAGGCCCTGGAATAGGGGCAGCTGTGCAAGGGCCCTGGGGCAGGGGCAGCTGTGCAAGGCCCTGGAATAGGGGCAGCTGTGCAAAGGCCCTGGGGCAGGGGCAGCTGTGCAAGGCCCTGGGGCAGGGGCAGCTATGTAAGGCCCTGGGGCAGGGGCAGCCCCAGGGTCCCCACAATGCCTGTCCCTCCCCATCCTAGTGTCCTGATCCTGGCCACTGGCTGAGCACACGCTGCTCTCCCACTCCCAGAACCTGGCACAGCACCTGGCACCTATGAGGAGGCTCTTGACTGGCCACCAGCGCCGCTAGTGGGCCCCAGCCCCACCGGGGCTTGGGAGAGTGGTTTTTGCTGTTGGGAAATCAACATGGCGGCCGCCCCCACTTCCCGCTGGCCTTGGGGAGTAGCCCTGTAACTTGGGGGGGAGTCGTTCAAAGCACGTTTTAGATTAGAAACGCCCCGCA